CAGTTGAACTGAGCCTCTCGGAAATACGAACCCAACGACACCAAATTCAACCCCACGAAAATGCGAATACTCCAGGACGCAACAGTTATAGTATATTTCTATGACTTACTTACTTCCGTTGATGCTCAATGTTTTAGGGAAATCAAATGGCCCAGCTTAGTAAAATAGATAAGGGCGGGTTTGTTAGGATCATAGATTTTGAAGTATTTTGTAATTCAATTATTTATTTTGATATATAGATTTCATGTAAGCTGTATTATTGTATATAAATTTTGAGAGGTGAAATAAAACAATGGTTAGACGATTATTATTGATTGGATCTTATAGTTAGCTTTGATTTATTTTGCTTGATGGTTTAGAAAAATTTAGGATTAGGAATTTAATCATTCCATTAGATCTGATGTATCACAACCCTCGAGCAGCAAGCACGCTACTCACCCAACGAGCTCCTCTTTGAGCTCAACGGGTGAAATTGAAGTCTAAGTTAATAATACAATTAGATTGATCAACACAATCAAATTCCCAAAAAAACTAACAAGAATGTGGGTTGTAAAGTAATCATATAATATACTAATCCAATGGCGTATGGTGAAGCAGGTAGTTACGGCTGAATCATTCGTGCATGTGAGTTTCAAAATGCAAAATACAACAAATAAAAAAAATACATACAACTAGTATTAGTAATAAGCTAATATCACAGACAAATAATGATTCATTAATCTATAACAATTGAATTTAACAAACCATCAAGGATAAGGTTGACTGATTCAATGACTATCTAATACTGTATATTGAGAAAGAAATATTTGACTTTCTTTGGATGAAATTATAACGTAATATTATAAGAAAAAATGCAAACTAGATATTAAAACTTATAATCATTATTCAATTAATTCATTAATCAAAATAAAATAAAATACTTTATTTTGACTTTTGTCTTATATACTTTTTATTTTTTATATTTAATTATTGATGCAATGAGTTTGTCAATCCTAAAAAATATACTAGCTCTATCCTGGATGTCATACCATATATATAGAGAAAAAAAATGGAGAGAGAGAGAAAGAAAGAGACAGAGAGAGAGATTATGATTTTAAGAAAATAGAAGCAACTATCATAACATATGAATTTAATGAGCTTGACAAATTTTGATTTTGGATTAAACAACCTATAGTTAAGTCTGAACTATTTAACTTGCGTCAAATAGTAGCCATTGGCCAGAAATTTTATTTGGTCCGGTAACCTGACGTAGCTCTACATTCGGTGAGCAGTAAACAGGGGCCACGTGTTCTCACTATTTACCGCGCGGCCCTACAACTTGACCCGGAACGGACCCGGGAGTTTGCGTATTGCTCGGTATTGCTAGGTATTGGTCGATTTTGTTCGACAAAAACGAAAAATACCATTATGTGAAGAGCAATACCGAGTTCTTTTAAGTATTACTCTGTATTGCTAGGTATTAGTCTTCACAGAGCGGTATTTCTCGTTATTGCCAAGCAATACCTAGCAATACCAAGTAATACCTAGCAATACCGAGCAAAAACCGAGCAATACGCAAACATAGTAATCCCGGATTCCAGTCCGAGTCGGGTCGTCGGACCACGCGGTAAAGAGTAAGAGCACGTGGCGACATATTATTTACTACCGGACGTAGAGCTACATCAAGTTACCTGACCTAATAATTTTTCCATTAGCCAACGTTCACAATGGCACAGAAAGTAAATTTCAAGTACTACGATGGGGTATTTGGTAATTCAAGTGGGGTGGAGCCAGCTACTCTCCGTGTTTGACCAGGAGAGATCTGGACATTGCGTGCGAATTCCTTCGGCCACAAATAGAAAATGGCAAGCGAAATTATGAAGGGCCCCTCGGCCCATGGTTCGCTCGGATTTGGCCCACCGAGGCGCCCTCGAACCGAGAGGCGCGGGATCCTGCACGTGCGATCCACACGGACTTCTAGGCTTTTGCCTTCATTTTCTCTTCTCTCCATCTCAGCGATACACGTGCGGCGAAACCCAAACGGACGGTGGGGATTTCCTCATCTGTTAAAGACGACGATAACCTTATCTGTTTTCCTTTTCTTTAGGGTTATAATATTATTATCTATTTTACATCAAATTAAAAATTAATATTTAAATTAAAATAATAATTAATGATCGTAGACTCGTAGTAGTTGATATGATGATAATAATAAGATGGTTTATTAAAAAAAATTATAATATTAACATAATGGTATAATAGCGACTACAAATAATAGGTTAGATAATAGAGTAATAAATGGAAATATGTTGAATAATAAGAATATATATTTGACATTTATTTTAATATGTATATGAGGATGAATGAGTTTAATAACTTTAACAAAAAATTATAATTAATATTAAATTATAGTCATACTCCTCAATATAAAAGTTTACATTTTTGTTATCTATATATACAAACCAAAAAGGAAAAAAAAAAAAACTATATGGAAATATGCACATAAATAGGTAAAGTGAATATGTTGTTGCTAGTTGTGTTGCTGATGTTAAGTTGTAATAAAGGAATTTCAATATGGTTGAAATATTTATCTGGATGCTTTTCTTCTCACATGATTTTGACTTTTGGGGGTTATGATAATATCCGATCTTTCATGTGAGACTCAACTTGGACACCCGCCTCTCAAGAAAATTGTTTTCATTGGATATATGGATCTGCCTTTATGTTACACAATTTACTATCTTCGAATTCTTTAAGTTTTTTATTGGTATATAGTTATTTCCAAAGCATTTGAGTCTTTGTTAAGCCTTAGAAGTTGATCATATAAACCTTTCATCCTATTTGTAATTTCTTGAGTTCCACTATTGATTTTATTAATGCTTTATTTTCCTTGATTTTGTTTTACTAATAGTTCATTTCTCATTTGTTCTGATTTAATTTTGGTGTTTGTCACACCAATTTATACAATCTTGGAGATCTCATAATTTTTGTAGTTACTTGTACGCAATTTATTGATCAATGATATTGGTTGGGTGTCCAAAAAATAATCTATTTATGGTCCAAAAAAGCTAGCGTAGCACATAGAAGTCACGCTCAAAAGGACTAATCAATCATGCTCACAAGCAGACATCCTCTTGTCTTTAGCCACTCTAAAGAACTAACCAGAGTTGCACATTTAGCCTATCCATAATCATCATAATGTAACTTCTTCATGAAATCCAATTGGAATTAAAATAACTTTTCCATAAATATTTGGATTGAACAAGAAATAGCTTCTTCATGAAAACTCCTTATGTGAAAGGATGAAAGCTAAAAGACTAAATACTTCATCTCATAATTATGACTTTTCACCTATATATTCATGTGATGTTTGATATTTTTATGACTTTTTGCACTATTAATTCATGACGTAAATCTGTGAAGATTACATACAAAGATAGAATGCTCCTTTTTTCAAACTTAGCTTGATGAAGACAAATTTGAACTCTTTTTTTTATAAGGTTGAAAGCGAGACTTTTGTTTTAATAAGGAAGAAGTGAGCATCTCACTTATATTCTTTCATGCACAACTCTTATAAAAATAAAAATATAATAATAATATAGTATTACTATGTAAAATAATAAATAAAATAAAAACTTAAATGGCTATTAGTTGTGCATATATACTATCATAAAAATGAGATTACTCAAAACCAGAAGGAACAGTCTCATAATAAGCTGACCAATAATTGCAAACCAGATAGTAGAAAAGGGTAAAAATGGCATTTGATTGCATGAGCATGGGTGAGTACAAACGAGATTCCCATACACCAGAAATTGTGCATAAAATAATCCAAAAATGTCAGAACAAGCACGAGGCAAGCAGAAGAGATACAAAGCAAAAGAAATAAAATAGTATCCATATCTCAGGAATAGAAGGGGAATAGCGGGAGGAATAGAAGAAGAATTTGGAATGAGAAGAGAGGTTAATTTTAATATTTCTTTCTCATTCCCTCTGACTTCTCCATTGGATTTATTGATCCCAATCACCTACTTCTATCTCTCTTTTTCCGGTTTGCAAGTCTGAGCAGCGCCTTATTCAACAGACAAGTCCCGTTATCTCCTCATTAAACCTCCATTAAATTCCAAAACCCAAGCATTCTACCCTAAGAGGGCTAATTAAACAGTGCACTCTTTAACTAGGACAATATATTTATAATTATGTAGTTTAATATCTATATGCATGCAGCTTCATAAGATCTAATGGTATTTTATTATATTTTCACCTCTTTAAAGTGTAAAACAATCCTCTTGCTCATGCACCAAGAAGGTACCTTGCTTTGCGTTTTGGCTTTCTTCTCTGTTACTTTAGCTTGCAGTTGAGAAACAGGAGAAGAAGAAGGAGAAGGAACTTGCTCCTTTTCGAGGTTTGTTCTTTTGCTTAATTTCTTTTGTGTTGTATCATGAAGAACTGAAAAGTAGAAGTTTGTTGTCACTTTTTTGTTTATATGTGCAAATTCACCATTTTTTAGCTTTTTTTTAGTTAGGGTTGGTTTGCTAGGAGTCTTATTCTCAAGAAAAAGTTTTAAAAGCTGTTGTTCAAAAAGTTGTTCTATGAGTCAGTTTAAAATTTTCATTTAGGTTTCGTTTGGGATGGCTTTCTTACTACTTCATAAAACAACTTTTTAGTACAAAAGTTTTGTATTACAAGACTGATTTAAGAAGCAGTAAAAAACCGTCCCAAACAAACCTTTATAATCATATTTATAGGAACTTTTTGTTGTCGCAACAAATGCAAATAAAAAGCTGAAAACTTTGTTTCTCAGCTACTTTAGTTTTTTACTTTAGTTGATAAAAAGATTAAAAGATATTGCAACTTCTAATGATCAAATTGTTCATCATCAAATTTATGTGCAAAAGCTTAAACACGATCAACCCTACAAAATATTAGGGTTTTGATTTTTTTTTCTTTTTTTGCTTTGTGTGTGTGATTTCAGTGTGCAGTTTTGTTTTCCTTGGAAGAAAGAGTGGAATTAAGAGAAAATGAATAGTGGAAACGGGCAGCTTGCAGTGCCACCAGGCTTCAGATTCCACCCCACTGAAGAAGAGCTTCTATACTATTACTTAAGGAAAAAGGTGGCTTATGAAGCTATTGATCTCGACGTTATACGAGATGTGGACCTCAACAAACTTGAACCTTGGGATCTTAATGGTTGGGCTTCTTTTGCTTATATCTATTTTATTTTTTTTACTTATTCCCCTTTGTCCTCTCCTTTTGTCTTGATGTTTGAAGTTTCTTCAAGCTAAAAGCTTTTTTTTATTTTTTTCTTAAGCTATTAGCTCAGGATCTTCAACCTGCAGAAATTTTAGTACGAAGATATATAACAATTTATAACCTAAAAGATAGCTACTTTTATCTTATAAAATACTTTTTCTTTTTCAAAAAAAATATTGAAAATGTATTCGCTTTAGCTTATATAACAAGAGATTTCTTACAACTAATTAGATAGGATATTCTTACGTAGGAAAAAAATCCTTGGGTTGATCATTCTGTGTTTGATGAAGCTTTTTTTGAAGTTATGAGCCATATATGGGCTGAACCAACCTCTTTTTTCAGGATGGACAAGATAGGATTAAGAAATGTATGATTTTATAATGAAATAGAAAAATTAATTTTTCTAAGAAAAAAAAAGATTTTAGTGTGGACAATTGCACCCTGAGCTATTCTTAGTTCCACCGTAACCTAGGATCCATATTTAAAAGTGAAAAAGATTTTTTTTTCTTACTTTAAAAGTCATTTTAAGGTATAATTAAAAAAGTTTCATGTTAAGATGTTTGTAGTTAAGATCTTAGTTGCTTGTACATATAAAACAGATTTTAGAGAAGTATAGATTTAGATTGTTTTTAGTCATTTTGACAAAAAAATTATGATATATGCTGAATTTTTTTGAAGGATCTCATAGAGAGAAGATGTTTATGTACATCAAATGAGAAGCCTAACTATGTCTTAGAGTGTTTATGCTTATTCTTTTTTTCTCTTGAGACAAGATGAACCCTTACTTAGCTAGATCTGCATATTTCTCTTCTTCACTCCATATTTTACACTTAGTGAAAAATAAAGACAAGACAAACTTTCCTATAATTAAGGATTATCATGAGTGTATGGTACAATATCTAGCTTATATGGAAAATTTACCATCATAGGCACACAAGGACAAATTTTCAGGTTTTCATGGAAAAGGTTTCATAGACATAGCTACAGTTAATTGAAACCTAATTTTCCCTTTATAATTAGTGTCATAAGATAGAAAAGAAAGTAAATAATCCTTCATTACATATTATTTTTCTGAGATAATTGTAACTAAACTTTCTAGCTTGCAATTTTCATGAGAAAACAGATAAATGTAGAATTGGAAGTGGCCCTCAAAATGAATGGTATTTCTTCAGTCACAAAGACAAGAAGTACCCTACAGGAACTCGAACCAATCGAGCAACTACTGCTGGATTCTGGAAGGCTACAGGAAGAGATAAAGCCATTCATCTTAGCAATTCAAAGAGGATTGGAATGAGGAAAACACTAGTTTTTTACACTGGAAGAGCACCTCATGGCCTCAAGACTGATTGGATCATGCACGAGTATCGACTTGATGATGACACCTCTGATGTTCAGGTATATATGAAAATATTTGATACTCTTATATTATACCTACAGTGCTGACTTTACATTATTTTATACTATTGTGATTATAATTATGCATGGAGAAAGATATAGGCTTCATTTAGAACGGTTTTTTTACTATTTTTAAAGCAGTTTTTTAGTAAAAAATTAAACTTTATAAGTACTAAAAAACTGCTTTAAAAAGCAATTAAAAAGTCCTCCCAAATGAAGCCAGAGCAGCTATAATTGACTGATGAGGAATGCTTGTAAGATAGAAACATATTTTCAACACATTATATAAATATAGACAATACAACTTGTTAGATATAAGTAAAACACAGAATACGAGAAGGTGGTGAGAGATAATTATGTGGCTTGACAGTATTATTGAGCATGTATTGACTTAAATGAATGATTATAATGATCATTTGGACATTTTTAAGTATTTTCTGGGTAAAAACTTGACTGGTTGTGTGGTAGAATGCAGGCTAGCCATAAAGAACATTACAATAGCCATTGACTTCTGCATCCCTCGTTTGAATTGAAGCATAGATTCAACAAAACTTGACATACTTGGAACTGAGGATCTAGACTAAAGTTTTGTTTGGAATAATTTTCTTGTTATTTTATTTTTCAAATCATCATTATAATTTTTATATGATCATTATTTTTTACAATAGTTTTAAAATTTTATTTTCTTTACAATAATTTTACAAAACAGTAAGAAATCTATCCCAAATGAAACCTAAAAATATTGTTATAACTAAATTTTATGAATTTAAACTTAGCAACATTAATAAAAATATGCATGAAATGAAATACTACTTATAAATAAAAGAACGCATTCTCTTTAAAAATATTGAATCACAAAATAATGGATATCATGAAACATGTTAAGAATCCCATGATCAGTACATTAGAGTCTAATTGTCATTGAATGAATATCACCTAAATTTATTTATTCCATAGCATTATATCTACTTAATTACTTATCATACTTTTGGTTTTAACATATCTTGCTTTTTTTTTTTTCTTCTCCAAAGTATGATATTCTCTCTTGATGAGGCCTTTTTAAAGTAGAAATAATTATTTTGCATGACATCATATTTTTATTATAATTATAGGTAGTCTCCTTCTCAAAATTATAACTTTAATTTTGTCTCTCTATAAAAAACAATCTCTCACTTTACTTTTCTTCTTTTATAATATAGGCTTAAACATAATATTCTTAGAAAGTGGCTAGTTCATAACAAAATTAAGCTAATTAATTCCATTTCTCCCATATAATGATTTTAAAAGAAATATTTGTGTAAGAGCAAGATAAATACAATAAGAATAAAAGTTATTGATTTTAATTAATGATAATCACATTAGAATGTCTTAAATTAAGAATTATGGAATTAAATAGATCAAGACATCACTAAATGGATAAATCTAGCTTCCTGCATGCAAGGAAAATAAAGTCTTAACTTCTAATTAAGTGTGTTAAAGAGGCTCATCAAAATGTATAAAGACTCCAACTTGATATACAACACCTCTATGATTGCCTACTCCCAAGATTTATAAGATATTCATTAATTCCTTAATTATTTTTTGTTGCATCATATAATACTTTCGATGATAGAGAAACATAAAGTTTAACGTCTTAGTTTCGTAAGAAAATCTAGTACACAAACAAATAAAAGAGATGGATTATAACGTTTATAAGAGACAACAAGATTTTTACGTGGAAAACTCTGAAAAGGGGAAAAATCACAGGGTATGACCTAGTTTGAATGAATCCTAGATAACAGTCCTTCCGACCTTCGTTGCCAGATAATTGTCATTTTGACCATTTTCGCTCACCGACTACGATCCTTTTGACCTCCGTTGCCAAACAACTATCTTTCTGATCACCACTGTCGTCCATCGACTACGGTCATTTCGACCTCCATCACCCGCTGACTACAGTTCTTTTGACGTTCGTCTCCGGATAACAGTCCTTATCCTAACCTCTGTTTCCCTTCGACTACGGTCTTTCCAACCTTCTTCGCATAATAACGGTCTTTCTGACCTTCATAGAACACAGATTATGATCCTTCCGACCTTCATTTGCTGATGAACAATCTTTTGACCTCCGTCACCCACCGACTACAACCCTTCCGAACACTGTCACCGACTACAGTTTTTTCGACCTTCGTTGCCCACCGATTATGGGCCTGCCGGCCAAAAGAATATATCAATACTAATTCTTCCAATTCCCCTCATGTAATGCACTCTATATGTTGTATATTTACTACATCAAGCCAAGGTTATCACGGGTCTTATTTATAATCGGCTCCAAGTAGGGGTGCAACCGAGTCAAGTCGTCTCGCGAGCCGACTCGGACTCGACTCGGTAACGGGCTCGACGAGTCGAGCTTATCGAGCTCGCGAGTCGAGCTCGAACACGAGTTCGAGCTCGACGGCTAATCGAGCTCGAGCTCGAACATACGTCGGACTCGACTCGTCGGCTCGACGAGCAGCCCGTTGGCGGAGCTCATGGGCGGGAAATCCAAATATCGCGAGCTGAAAATCCAAAACAACGGCACAAGCGGATCTCGTTTCTCGACGGCAGACGAGCTCGGGACAAAGGCCGAATGCGACTGATCTTGATCTTGACGGCAAAGCTCATCCATTGGTCGTCGAATCTCTGGACAACGACATCCATTGCTCGACAATCTCTGGACGACGACATCCAGAGCTCATCTCGGGACGGCAGAGCGGAACACGTCGGACGAGCTCCGCCAACGAGCTGATGGCGGACGGGCGCGACGACGGAGCTCAAGAACACGTCGGACGAGCTCTGCCAACGAGCTGATGGCGGACTGGCGCGACGGAGGGCGCGACGACGGATGGTGCGACGGACGGGCGCGACGACGGTGGGCGGAACTGCGGATGAAGTCGGAACTGAGGTCTCGGGCGGAACTGCGACGACGGGCTCGATAGCGAGCTCGACGAGCCGCTCGATTTGACGACGAGTCGAGCTCGAGCTCGGATTTTGAGCTCGACTCGAGTTCGAGCTCGAGCTCGAGCTCGGGTTTTGGTTGTCAGGCTCGTCTCGAACACACCCTGACTCGAGCTCGACTCGACTCGTTTGCACCCCTAGCTCCAAGTACTAGTGGTCTCCTCTCTTTCCAATTGTCAAGCTCTTCTAAGAGATAGCTCTACGAGAGATTTTTTTTTCAAATAACAAATTTCTTATTTTATAGCTCTACGGGAGAATTCATTTTTTTTTTTTAGTTAAAACCCGCAGAGGGGCCTACGCGTTAATTTTAAAAAACCGGTTAGAAAATCCTTAGAAGGATCCTCCAGCTCGCCACTGCTCAAAAGAGCTACAAGAAAATGGAAAATAAAACTTAAGAACCCGTGGTTCCTTTTTCTAAGATTACAAAATAAAATAAAGTAATACTCGGGCTGCAAGTAGGCAGCACCCAAAAAAGGAAGAGCAGATTGGTCCAGTTTAGCTCATTCTTCCTGCAAAAAAAGTGTAGAAAATGGAAGGCAAAAAGAGAAAAACTAACCCAAAAATCCTTGCAGTCAATGAAGCTCCGTAAAGTAATCCTGTAAGGGAATCTCAAAAAAAGCCAATTAGACAAATAGATAGTAACCAGACAAATATAACCAAAGATTTAGTTCCAATCAGCAAGCCTAATAATAAAAACAGGAAAAAATTTCCTGATGGCCGAAAAAATATAAGTAAATCCCTGCCAGCCATAACGATCTCCAGGAAATCCCTCAAAGCAACCATAATGTTTTCCATATCAAACCCATACAAACTCTTAATTGTAGGATCAGAAACATTGACAAAACAAGGTTGAGTACGAGAAAGAAAAGGCCCTTCCAGCACACAGAAATCCAAAGCAAAACGAGTCACTAACCACAACTCCTGTCGCAGCAAGACCAAACCAGCCAAACATAAAGACCTGATCCCATCCAAAAACACCTTCAGCATAATGTCAGAAAAATGAAAAAATGCCAAAACAACAGAAAAAACTATAGTGATAAATAGACAGCCAACCCAGATTCAACCAAACTTGCAACACCCTATCCAAAACCCAACTGCCAGCATGCCACGCAGTCCAGGAGGCATCCACAACAACCCCAGCCAGAAACCCACAGTCAACAACCTCCAAACCAAAAAAATACCCAACGGAATAACCCATACGATCCACAACACCAAAACAGTAAAGATCCAAATAGAAACAGAGATCAGGAAAAGTGAACAGCATAGGAAACCTCATCAAAACCCCCAAAAAACAATCAAAAAAGAAATCAAGCATGCCGCAGGTAAGGAAGAGCAGTTTTTTCCAGATTAATAAGACCTTTCAGGAATAGAGGAAGATTATTCACATTAAATTCCTGATACATATCACTATGAGAATTATGCTTGGCTAACCAATCCGCACACGCATTACCTTCACGATAAATATGAGAGATAGAGAAAATAAGATTCGACATATACATTCTAATCTTATGAATGGTGTAAAAATCATGAGGATTACCAGCGTTACCATCCTTAATAATATGAAGTAGGAGTTTAGCATCCACCTCAATCATCACATGCTGAATACCAAGCCTCACACAAATATTTAAGCCATGAGACGAACCCTGAAGCTCAGCCAAAATAACAGAACAACGGTTTAAAGGGTCAGAAAAAATAGCAATAGGAATACCCAAAGAATTCCTAATAATACCGCCCATACCAGCATTGTTAATTAGAGCCAACAGAGCCATCCGAGTTAAGCTTAACATAAGGTAAAGGGGATTTAAACCATCTCACCACACGATCAGCCTTAATAATGTCAGAACTGGTATTTTGAATGCCAAAGTAGTTAGACTAAATAGTACAATTTCTAAAGTTTTTAGCAGAAATAAGTTTAAAAGAAATAAGCTGAAGGATTTTGTTCCTAACATTATCAATAATATGAATAGCTAGCATCCATCTTAATTTCATTGTGCTTAGAATCGTTCATAGCCTTCCATAGATACCAAAAGATCAATATAGGCATAAGAGTCAAAATATGGCCTTTAGGTTTGATAAACCAAACTTTAAGAATATCAACAACATTGCAATTAGCATTAAGCACCAAAATATTGGCAAGATTACAGTAGTGAAGCCAAACCTTATGTGCAATCTCACTGTTTATAAAAACATGCTTGATACTTTCGATACTGAAACAACACTGGCATTTAGAAGGAAATGAAAAACCTTTTTTCCACAAATTTTCATCCACAGGAAGATAACCTTTAATGCATATCTAAGCAAGAATAGAATAAGATAAAGGAACGGGTTTATGCCAGAGAGACTCAAAATTATGATCAATAACATCTTTAATCCTAATAGCTTCCCAAACATTTTTAAAGTTAAAATTAATTACCAGAAGGAGAGAGCTTAAATAGGATTTTGTCCTTGATTTGAAGTTGTAACGGGATTTGCACAATCATGTTCACAATGTCAAGAGGAACCACATCCAAAAGTTTGCTAGTGTTCCAATTACCATTATCAATAAAATGATATGATTAACTCTAACATTTTCAATAGTATGGGTGTTAAGAAAACAATCGATAGAAAATATACCCAGCCAATTGTCTTGCCAGAAAGAAACATCACCTTTACCAAGCCCCCATTGAATGTACTATTCAGCTTCCCATTTGATCTTACAAAGCCTTTTCCACACAAAAGAGTCATAAGATTTATAGTGACACACCAAAGGGTTACGCATTTTACAGTATTTCGCCTTCATAAACTGTGCCCACAAACTATCATTAGAACGAAAATCAAATCATAATTTATGAGAGAAAGCCTGAACAGTGTTAAGAATATTCTTGCAACCAAGCCCTTCCTCCTTATAAACACCACAAATTTTTTTCCAACTAATCCAATTGATGCAAGACTTGTTGTTTTTAGCACCCCAAAAAAATTTATTAATAAGTCTTTCCAGTCTAATATTAATGCAAACATTGGAGGAGGGTAGCAAAGTGTGAAAGATAAAAATAGGAATAGAACATAAAACACTCTTAATAAGCACCAACCTACATCCAAAAGAAAGAAAGTTAGAAGACCAGGTAGTCAGTTTCTTATGTAAAATAGAAAAGATATTGTCAAATAAAAATTTATTCTTTCTACCTTTAAAGAGAGGAGTGCCAAGATACTTAATAGGAAGAACATTAGAGTTAAAGCCACAAAATCTCTTGATCTTACTAATTCTGTTATTGTCCACCGTTTTACCAACGAGAAAATTACTTTATACGAGAGAATTCTTTTTCTCCATGCATCATGAAACTCTAACTAAAAGGGTATGTCATCACTTTAGTAAGATAAAAAATTACATCATATATATAATCCCCCAAATCTTTTATATAATCCAGAGCATCTTTGCATGTAATATGCATAAGAATTCAAGAGAAAAATTTTTGACATGCTAAATGAGAGAAAGTTTTGGCATGTGAAATGAGAAAGCTTTAATTTTAAATAATACAATGCTTGATGAAATTATAATCCTTATTTTTACGTGCATAATTTTACCTTTTTTTTTTTCTCCTAACATCAAGAAAGTACATGATTCTGAGCGTTAACGTTGTTAGCACCATCAGCACTCTTTTTTTTTTTTTTTTTTTTTTTTTTTTTTTTTTTTTTATCCAAAAAAGTTCAAAAACATGCCTTAAATCCAACATTAAAATGACTCAATTTGCCTCTCTGCAGGAAGATAGCTGGGTTGTTTGCAGGGTCTTCAAGAAAAAAAACCTCTACAAATGCAATAACATCCCTTCTGATCAAATCCTCCCTCAAGAAACCAATCTCAATCTCTTCAAAGCTCCACCATGCCCCAACTCATTTCCCCAACCCCAAACTCACCCTTCATTTGATCACTTCTCCTTTCTCAGCAACAACCACAACAACAACAACACAATGCATCTTCCTCAGCTTCTCAGCTCCGATCAGTCCTCGGCTGCCATGGCCGCCGCCTCCTCCTTCATCTCTCCCATTGACCTCGAGTGCTCTCACAATCTCATGAAGTTAACTGGAGATTGGTCTATATTGGATAAGCTACTTGCTTCCGGTCACCAGAACCAGCTTGATCAGTTCTTCCAAGTCAAGTGCAACGCTAATAGTAGTAATCCACAGCAACTGATGGACATGAGCTCTTCAGCTCAGAGATTCTTCCCATTACAATATCTTGGCTGTGAGACTGATTTGCTGAAATTTTCTAAGGAAGGTTAGTATAAATGTTATTTATTTGGTTTGATGCATATTGAGGTAGAGGTGAAGAGAACATTTATTATTTGAGCGTCTTAATATATAAGAAAGATGTATATAAACGCATGCATGCATGCATGATGCATGCATGCGTTTCTCATCAGCGCAGTGGCCATCATAACTATTTTTCATGGATTTTCAGATGATGGATGTTAAGATGTGTAACTTATTATGTTGTTTTGGGATAAGCACTTCAAATATATGCATGGAAGTTAATTATTAATTAGTATTATTGTTAATTATCACTATAGCCATCCTTTGGGATATTTTCTTAAAATTTTATAATTATTAATTAGTTTTCTCTTCATTTGCAATTCTTGCTTGATATATACTTTTTTAAATTTTTGAAAGTGTAGTATGTTAGTACATTTGAAATGAATATTTGAGAAAAATTGCTGATGAAAGCTTTAAGAAATTAAGGCTTATTTATTTGGGACAGCTTTTTTATTGTTTTTGGTTAAAGCTATTTTTTAGTGCAAAAATTTTCTTGTATTACAAATTTCTGTATTAAAAAACTGCTTTAAAAAGCATTAAGAAAGCCAGCCCAAATGAAGCCTAAATCTAAATAAAGCATTTATATTTGGGTCATTTAAGTGAAGTTCAATTATTTATGTAAAGAAATTATATTTGGCTCATTTGTGCAAATTAAAGCACTTATTTGGGTGATTGAAGCTTAAAAACACATATTTAGCAAAATCATGAGTAAATTACTTGAATAATACAATTAAAAAATAATATAAATTTCATATTTTAATAAATATCTTTTAAATATTAAAAAAAAGGTTTTTGCTTTCAAAATCTATCTAACGTATAGTAAATTATAATTGCTACTATATGGATTTTTTTAAATTGTGGTACTTGAACTCTTTGAATATATATATATATATATATCACTTATGCATTCAAATAACTTGGTTATAAGTCTTTAAAGAGATCAAACGCTTACTAATGTCCAAAGAGTTACAATCAAAATCAAAAAATAAAACTTAACGAGCCAATGAGCCCTACAAAGATACAATATCAAAAGGTAAAGAAGAAAAAAAAAAAACAACAACATTTAGAGGGAGGCAAGAAGCCGTCACCCAAAAATAAACCAAGCAGGAGCCAACATGGAACTCCGCTAAAGAAATAGCAATAACATGCAAAAACCTGCTAGAGCAGCTTGCAAAATAGAGAAAGAGATAAGAACAAAAAGACTACCAAATCAACAGAAGAAGGCAGAGGCCGATGCATGAAATAGAGCATGAACAAGAAACCCAACTAAAATCAGATGGAACAAACCACTAAAAGTAGAACCCAAAAAATACTAATAAATTAGAACAATAGAGCCAACCAAAAAAGGCCAAGAAAAGAACAAAAAGAAATGAGAATTTAGATAACAAATAACTCAACAAAACGCACCAAAGAAAACCTTCTTGTCACAACCAAACAAGGAAAACTATATAAGGCCCAACCGCCCAGGCACCTAGAAGAGAAAGAGAACCAATTCCAGTCAGCTAAAAGAGCAGGTGAGAACTAACCATAATGACATGTCGAGCCATCGACCAAAGAACACCAACAACAAAATGCCCAAAAAACCACCAACAAACAAACTCATAAACAAATCAACTAACCAGAACAACAAAATTGATAAGCTACGCTAAAAATATTAATTAATTCAGTAAACCTAACAAATTAAGAAGAACTATCAAAAAGAGACAAATAGAGAAACCCAACATAGCATCCCAACATAACTAACCAAAAGATCCAACTGATAAGATATCCAAAGAGGCGAGCCATCAGCTAGAAGCCATTGATAAAAAACAAAATATCAAATATTTTCAATGATGTTGCTAATGAGAGAAATAGAATTGTTGTGGGCTAGAATATACGTGGCGATAGAGTTTTAATTCTACATCTTAGCGTTGCACGAATATTCAGCTCACACACACAGAGAACACAAGATTTTCTATGTGAAAAATCCTAGAAAGGGAAAATTCATGAGGCATAGCCCACTTAAAAAGATTTCACTAGAATTTGAGTTGAGTACAGTGAGCTGACTCATCCTTGAGGGCGATCATTTTACAAATGTCAATAATATGGTTGAAGTCTAGTGTCAAATCTGGCGTTACTTGAAAGTTAGGGCATTAGTTAGTAGTTCGGTAGTGACTTGGCGGGACTCTAACATCAGTTGATGGTCTGGCAAAGACCCTTAGGTGGTTCGACGAAGGTGAGGACCTCAAGTAATGGTCCGGCGAGGTTGAGGGCCTCAAGTGGTGGTATGATGGAGCAACAAAACGTCAGGCGATGATCCGGTAGAGCTCCGGCGGTAGCCGAGGAGGAGCAAGAAGGCAAAAGAGATATCCGATCTCTTTCTTGAATTCTTTAGCTGAGGGTCCCTTTTCAAGAGACATGAGGGGTCTATTTATAGATTTCTGAAGTGGCATGGCCTAAAAATAGGTGAGAGATCAAGGGTAAATAGGGAGTGGTTGGATGGACGGCCGATGTTGAATCCCTAGATCATATATGGATCATTTGATGGACATTTGAATGTCTTAGTGATGTCAGAATTTGGTGATCATGAGCTCGTTAGATTCGTCTCGTTGAGCCGCTTGATTTGACTATTAACACGTTATATTTTAAAACTGTTTCGTAATCCAAATTGTAGTTCGAACCTTCCAACAGCGCTTCTAACCCTTGATTTGGACCCGTTTGTGCTCGGATTGTGTTGTATTTGGTATCGTTGGGTTCGTATTCTCAAGAAGCCCTGTCGACTATAAGTTTGTTGAAATCAGAGTTCGAATGGTCCCAATTTTAATTTTGGAAGTCAAACTTGATTTTGCATCGAGATTCGTGCCCGATCAAAATACTTTTTTGATGATATATCAAGAATTATCATTAAAACTAAAAAGCTTCAAAATGTTGTAAATAAAGGTCCAATTAATATTATCATATGTTTTTTTTTAATCCAATTTCATCAGCATATTATGCCAAACAATTTTATGATTAATGTTGTGAATGAGCTCTTGAGCAAACAACACATTATCAAAAATGTATCTCCCTCTAACAAAACTAATATAATTAGAAGAGATAATATTAAGAAGAAGAGAATTCATTCTAGTTGCAAGAATTTTAGATAAGCTTGTTAAAAATAGAGCACAAACTAATGAGTCTATAATCATTCCAACATTCCGGATTATAACATTTAGGTATAAGAACTAAAGAGGAACTTGAGAAAAACTTAGGCATAACTATCTCATTGAAAAAACACTTAATAGCAAAGACGATATCATTTTTAATAATATCCCAATATTTTTAGAAAAAAAAAACAATAAAATTATCAGCACGTACAACAAAATATATACTTATTCATCTGCATAATAGAATTATGAATTTCGAAATCATTAGGAACAATTAACAAATTGAAATTTATCATTATTAGTATTAATGGAAGGGATATAGTGAGGATTGGAAAGATCCTCCACCACCTTAGAAATGCTAAGCAACTTCTTGAAATGAGAAATAGTAGAAGCATATATAGACTCCTCATTCTCCATCCAGGAACCCCAATCAAATTTGATTTTATGAATAACATTTTTAGTTTTTTTTTTTTTTTTTTTGTCAAAAGGGGGAGCAGATTATTAACAACATCTGCACTTTTATTCTTAGTATGAGCATGAAAAAAATTAATGTTCTTGTCACCATCAGCAATGAAGTTATAGAATTAGCTTTCTAACTTCAATATTCCTCCTCTTTAAATTGTAAAACAGAGAGACAGCTTTTAGCATTTAATAAAAAGGATTTGTTATCATAATAATAATAATTAGTGTGGTTATTATATAATCATTATAATAATTAGTGTGGTTATTATATTACCCTTACTTAAACTTTCATGTAAAAGGCAAAGCACACCTCACGTACACTTTAGGATTATTCAATGCATCTCTTTAATTTGATAATAATAAGAAGTAGTGATCATAATTGAAATATCCTAATTAATTCAAATAAAAGTATTATTATTTAATAAAATCATCATTAATATCATTTACGCTACAATACCTTTGCAACCATCAAACATTTATGAGTAGAGAATGAATGGTGCAAGAAGGATTTGAAGAAATATTTCTATCATATTTGTAATTAAATCAAGATACATCTTTAAAAAGATTATGTCATAATATTCTTATATAAGTTATATCATAATACATTTTAAAAATATTGATTAGTGCTACATATAAAAAATCTATATTTATTAATTTTAGAATAAATTTAATAACTTTTAAATCTATTTTAATAAAAATTGTATCGCAATATCTTATAAATTTTATTCCATCTTCATATACCAAGCAACAGACAGCGTCTTAAAAAGTGTGAAATTATAACAAAGGGCCGTCATATGCATTGTGGCCTAGATTAAACAAGAAGTGTAGATTTGAGCCCATACTTAGGCTTTCAGCCCACAAGGCCCATAACTAGGAACTTTTATTTGGTCATGTGACCGGACGTAGAGCTACGTTCGGCCGGCACTGAGATGGCGCCACGTAGCATGCATAAAACCATGTATTTGTCGATTTTGCTCAGCAATAACGAGAAATATCATTATGCGAAGACAAATACTGAGCAATACCGAGCAATACCGAGTTTTTTTTTATAAAAACTCGGTATTACTCGGTATTGTTCTTCACACAGTGGTATTTCTCGTTATTGCCAAGCAATACCTAGCAATACCGAGCAAATACCGAGTAACTCAGTGGTGACCGAACGTAGAGCTACGTCCGG